CCCAGGTTTGATCCCAGCCTTGGGCAAATATGTATGGCATTTGCACATTCTCCTTGTGTCTCCTTGTGAAACATTTCAGGTTGTTTCATGGCGTTAAAGGTGGCCGTATAGAAGCGAGTTGTGGTTTTTACACATCCAGCAGACAGGACTCAGTCCTATAGCAAAGGGCAGGGAGATGGGTGAGGGTGGAGTTGCAATATGGCTGGGGAGGCATGAGCAGGGGAGACCAGTGTCTCTACCCCCAACTCCCTGGATGTGATGTCTTACCGAAGGTGGGTAACCCAATGACGGAGAGAGATACCTCCCTCCTCGACTGGCATTGTGTGGGGAAAGCCTTCCACTTTGTCGATGGACTGCCACCAGCTCCCCTGGGTTCCTTTAAGTCACTGGCAGCAGAGGCTGCGCTCGTGACCACGGTCACCACTGCTTGGAGCTGATGCCTCCAACCACCCTTACCCCCCCACATCCCCATGTCGATCACGAGGTTAAAATAAACATGAGATGGTGGCGCTGATGAGCCATCAGCCTTTGGATTGAGCCAACGCCTGGGTCCCACCACCGTGAGGTTTCCCTGCCCCCATCCCAGCCTTTTTCCCGTTGGTGATGCACCACCATTTTGTGAGAAAATCCAACCCCTAATTCTTGGTTAATGGGACTGTCACCCTGATGGAATCTGTAAAGAGTCATGTATTTACAGAACAGGCCCTTCAGCTCAGTGAGTGTGCACCGACAGAAAAATACTAGGTATCTTTCCCAAGATAACACCAGGACCCTGCGCTCTTTCCCACATCAATACACCGTGCCCTAGTCAAGAGTATTACTGAAAATATATGGTTGAGAACCTAGCTTTCACCTTCAGAAACTAAGGTATTGCCACATGCATTGAGAAAAATCACCAATTTGTTCTAGGTGATACGTTTAGCCACATTAGCCTCCTTCTTGAGAGGTTAACTTGACCAACAAATCAAATACACAAGTTGAGTGTTCCTAGCACGGATTTTGGCCCTTTCAAAGTAGAGCTCGAGACACCAACGTTTCTTGACCCCATGGCAACAGGCTTGGATGTGAGGAAGTGGATGCTGGAAAATAAGGGGTGACTTCTCTGTGGAGTCCAGTCACTGGGACAACAACTGACCCACCTGCTGATGTTGATCTGCAGGCCTAAGGCCTCAACTGGGGGCGGTTTTGTGGCGCTGCCACTCATTTTTTTTTTTGACATCGGAGTACTCCCGTCTACCCACCTCAACCCCCCAAATTCGTTACCACTCAGGGAAGGCTGCCCAATCAATTGAGATGGACTCCCTTCGGAAGGCCAAGAGCGTCACTGGAGCTGGAGAGTAGAAGGTCATAGGTCATAGCTGCAACCCAACTCCATCTACAGGATGAGGCTGCCCCCTTCCTGTCCTACTCTGAAATTGTCGCCGTAACTTCTCTCTGCCCCTGAGGTTGCCACCAGACAGGGACTACTTTGAGCTGTGTCAGCGGCACACACAGCTGTCCTGGTGAGGGCACCACGACCTCTGAACTGCCGGTCAGGACCCTATCCACACTCCTCACTTGGGCCAGGAGCAGATGGGTCTCCTCACAGGCCTCCTTGGCGAGCATCACTGAGCCATTCTTGTCTGTCAACGAGAGAGGGCTCAGGACTCCATCATGTGTTGCCAACAGCAAGGTGTAGAAACCTGCAGGAAAATCCTACCCTTTGTGCACTTCCAATTCCAAATGTTTCGAGTCGATAGCCAAACAAAAACATTGTGGATTATTTCCCGCTCCGTTGTTAGCTGCCATCTGTTTGCTTGTGGAAGTATCTGATAATTAGATAAAGGATATTTCACGGAATTGAACTGAAATGGAGTGTCAAGGGACAGAGACTGTTCCGGGTTAATTAACATCTTTCCAGCCTCGTGCTCTCGCTCTGCGTACAGTGACGAGTATGATATCTGAGGGCTGAACTCCACATCTGTGTTTGAGGCAGGTATGTGAAACTCCTCACACATAGGCAGCAGAAACACTTAAGCCCATGTAGCACCACCGAATGCTGGTAATGTCGATAAACAGCCGTGAATATAATCTCATTAACTTCCATTGACACTGGGTTTTTTACTGACAGACTGTTCAAGGGTTGATTAAAAAGTTCCACTTGCCTGAGGATAGACGAACAGCGCTCTTTCAGACAAAGTCTTTCTCCCACTGCACGGTCAGGACCCAAGGCTGGCATTCCCACAGAGTGTCGCACAGTTGAAGGGATTGAGGGGTTAAACTGATACCCTGTCTGCTATCTTGGATCCTGCTGTGCTATTTCGAAGAATATGGAAGTGGAGGCAGGGAATGGAAGGATTGCAAATGCTACACTCCATTTAAAAAGGGTCTTGTGGACAAATCTGATAACTGTAGATGAATCAGTCAGACATCAATCTGTAAGGCCAACGGCTTAGTGGCTCAGTGGTGAGCACTGCTGCCTCACAGCGCCAGGGATCTGGGTTCGATTCCACCCTCGGGCGACTGTCTGGGTGGAGTTTGCATGTTCTCCCCATGTCTGCATGGATTTTCCTCCCACAGTCCAAAAATGTGCAGGTTAGGGTGGATTGGCCATGCTAAATTGCCTTGTAGTACCCAGGGATGTGCAGGCTAGGTGGGTTAGCCATGGGAAATGCAGGGATTAGATGGAATGCTTTTCAGAGGGTCGCTAGGGGTTGAATGGCCTGCTCCCACACTGTAGGGATTCTACGAACACAGACTGAATCCTGGAATGGCAGAACTGAAACATGAAGACAGACTGGATGGGTTTGGATTATATTCAGTTGAGTTTAGAAGGACAAGGGACAATCTCAGGGGAATGTATTGATTTCAATCAGGACTAGACAGGATAACTGCAGGAAGGATGAATCAGGAGTCACATTCTAAGGCTACGGGAAGGCCATTTAAGTCTGGGATGAGGGGAGTGGTGAGCCTGTACCACAGAAAGTGGCTGAGGCCATACATTGAATGTCCTCAGGAAGGAGTTAGATATGGTTCTTAGGGTCAAAGAGTATGAGGGAAAATCAGGAACAGGGGAATGGTAGAGCAGCCTTGAATAGCTTACTTGTGCTCCGAATTTCGATGTTTCTGTGTTGGCAGAGAGGTTTGATGAAGGTGGTGCTGTGAATGCAAACAGAACAGCTTATTTTATCGCCTCATCTTACCGTCACGGAACATACCAAGATGTCTCACAGGAAGGGTGATAAAACAACATATTACGCTGAGCTACATGAGGAAGTATTAGGTCAGATGGTAACAAGTTTGGTCAGAGAGGTAGGTTTTAAGAAGGAAGGGGGATTTGGAGAGGTGTATGGAGGAAATTCTGGAGTGTGGGATAAAGGCACCGCCTGCGATGGTGGAGCAATGATAATTGGGAATGCTCAAGTCGTCGAAGTTAGAGGAGCACAGCTATCTCAGGGAGCTGTGAGGCTGGAGGAGATGACAGAGATAGGGAGGGCCGAGGCCTGTGGAGGGATTTGAAAACAAGGATGAGGATTTTAAAATCAAGATGTTTCTTGACTGGGACCCAGTGCAAAGAGTTGATAGAGGAGCAAGCCGTGCTGCAAGACAAGTTATAGGAAGCAGAATTCTGGATGTCATCAACTTTATGGAAGACTTTCAAAAAGCATTTGATGAAGTAAAACTTTTTTTATTCATGGCATGTGGGCGTCACTGTCTAGGGCAGCATTTATTGCCCATCCCTAATTGCCCAGAGGGCAGTTAAGAGTCAACCACTTAGCTGTGTGTCTGGAGTCACATGTAGGTCAGGCCAGATAAGGATGGCAGGTTCCTTCCCTAAAGGACATTAGTGAACCAGGTGGGTTTTTCCCCAACAATCAACATTGATTTCACGGTCATCAATAAACACTTATTTCAGATTATTATTGACTTCAAATTCCACCATCTGCTGTGGTGGGATTTGAACCCAGGTCCCCAGAAGATTTCCTGGGTTTTTGGATTAATAGGTCAGGCAATAATATCACCAGGCCATTGCCTGGACTGTCTGAAAGAAGGGGCACAGAATTATTGAATTGAGAGGAGGTAGAGCCTAGCGTTGGATGGATAGTCTTCTGGCAGGTCCATAACATACAGTGAGGGGCAGCTGGGTAACCATCAATCTGAAAGATGGTATGTTTGACACTGCTGCACTCCTCTGGTGGATTGTCAGCCGATAAGCGATTGCAGGTTAGCAGTTGGAGGTCATAGCTTTAAAACAGTCAGCAAAAGAACTTGCAGCAAACTGAAATGAAATATTTATCACGGAGGATTGTCTCAGTCAGGAATGCTTTGCTCGGAAGGGTGGCAGGAGCAGATTCCACAGGTGTGTTCAGGAGATGGCTGACCATGGAGTTAGCTGGTACAAAGAGTGGAAAACAGCTGAGGTGAGAGAGTAAACTGTTTCAAATAGGCAGCATAGGGCTGAATGGCCTCCTCTTGTGCTGGAAAACTCACTGAGTTGACAATCGATATGTCGCAGAATCACTACAGCACAACGCAGATACTGTTATCAGACAGAATGTCACACCATGCAGTGGGCTGAATGGCCTCCTCCCTTGCTGTAGTGATTCTGCGACACATCGATTGTCAACTCAGTGAGTTTTCCAGCACAAGAGGAGGCCATTCAGCCCACTGCATGGGGTGAGATTCTGTCCAATAACAGTATCTGTGTCATGACTTGGGATGTTTTGGACTGTGAGATAAAGTGGCCATAGTCCTGTAGGGCTGCTCTCTCATTACAGAGAGATGACTGGAGGTGGTTTAACCTGAGGGTCACCATGCCCGAGGTGAGGGGAGAGGTTGAGAAGGAGAGTCCTTCATGGTAACCCCAGCCGGTGATGGGAACTGAACCCACGAAGCTGGCATCACACACCAGCCAACCAGCTAACCGACTCCTCCCGATGGGGAAGGTGCCATATAAATGCATGGCTTTGTTTCGGACTGAACAAATTCACCCCAGGGTCTGTCTTGCTCCCTCCCTGCAGGTATCGTGCTGTCCGACGTCATCGAGAAATACTTTGTGTCGCCGACACTCTTCAGGGTCATTCGGCTGGCACGGATTGGGAGGATACTCCGTCTTATCCGGGGGGCAAAGGGGATAAGGACATTGCTATTCGCCTTGATGATGTCCCTGCCCGCCCTGTTTAACATTGGCCTGCTCCTGTTCCTGGTCATGTTCATCTACGCCATTTTCGGAATGGCAAACTTCGCCTACGTTAAGCAGGAAGATGGCATCGACGACATGTTCAACTTCCAGACTTTCGGGAACAGTATGATCTGCCTGTTCCAGATTACCACCTCAGCGGGCTGGGATGGGCTGCTGAGCCCCATTCTCAACACCGACAGCCCAGACTGTGACCCCAAGAAAGAGAACCAAGGCACCAACATGAGAGGGGACTGCGGGAACCAGTCGGTTGGCATCGTCTTCTTCGTTAGCTACATCATCATCTCCTTCCTCATTGTGGTGAACATGTACATCGCCATCATCCTGGAGAACTTCAGCGTGGCCACAGAGGAGAGCTCGGAGCCTCTCAGCGAGGACGACTTCGAGATGTTCTACGAGGTGTGGGAGAAGTTCGACTCGGAGGCCACGCAGTTCATTGAGTACTCGGCCCTCTCGGATTTCGCCGACGCCCTCAAAGAGCCCTTGAGGGTGGCGAAGCCGAACAAGATCAAACTGATTGCCATGGACCTGCCCATGGTGAGCGGGGACAGGATCCACTGCCTGGACATCCTCTTCGCCTTCACCAAGCGGGTGCTGGGGGAATCTGGGGAGATGGACGCGCTCAAGCTGCAGATGGAGGAGAAATTCATGGCGGCCAACCCGTCGAAAATCTCCTACGAGCCCATCACCACCACCCTGCGGAGGAAGCAGGAGGAGGTGTCCGCCACGGTCATCCAGCGGGCGTACAGAAGGCACCTACTGCGGCGCTCGGTCAAACAGGCCTCGTTCATGTACCGCCACAGAACCAGCGACATCAACACCGTGGTGGAAGAGGCCCCCGAGAAGGAAGGGCTCATCGCGGTGATGATCAAGGAGCACTACGGCCCTGGGCTGGAGAGGTCAGAGACAATGTCCTCCTCCTCCTCCCCACCATCTTACAACAGCGTCACCTGTGCAGTCAGTGACAGCGTCCAAGTGAAGGTCTTTGAGCCCGAGCCTGACTGCCAAATAGACCCAAAGAGAATTCTCGATAAAGACAGGGAGTCTTTAGTGTAAAGAGAAAGGCGAGCTCTCTGAGATGTTCCTGTTTACACACACACACACATACACACACACACACACACACACACACACACACACAAAATAAAACAAAAAGGAACGATACGCAAAGTCATTTGTACCAGTTAGATGTGGAAGATTAAGAGAGAAGATTAAAAAAAGGCGAGGCTATTGTTTTGCTTCACTTCTTCAGTGACGATTCAGAGTTCAGAGCACACGATGTGACTGAACTTTGACCATGGTCCTGACAGCTTTGCTTCAAGCTTCAAACAACGAGAGAGTTGGAGGGACCGCACACACAAAGTTGTGGCACTAACTTTACTGACCATAGACAAGGCTGGGGGCAGAACTCAGCAACATGAGGCTCCCACTATTCACAAGCGATAGTGACTGATTGTACACATTTATTTGAAATATCATTACGATGGTGTGTCTCCTCCTGGTTATGTATCATCTGCATTCACAATTATCACAAGTTCTGTAGCAAATGTAACACTTATTGCATATGTTATGGGTCTTTCATAAATTTATTATAATATTTGATATTTTTCTACTCAAGCATATAATTGTCTGTTTTTGCACCGGGCTTGTGAGCCTCCTGCCCTCCCCCCACCCCCACCCATGTCAGCTCAGGCAATCAGTGACTTTCAAACCATAACCCTGTCACCAACTCGACTGTCCAATTCCCTTCACGTTACGTCCCAGCGCAAGTGAACAAAGTCATTCCCCAGGGATTGCTCATTGATGTCGAGAATCGAGGGTTGTTGAACCATCTCGACGCGCGGAGCTGGTTGAGTACGTCCAAGACAGAGGACCTGATGGATTTCCAGATGTGAAAGATATCAAGGGACAGCACAGGAAAGCGACGTTAAGGTAGAAAACCGGCCAGGATCCTGCCACATGGGGGCTGAATGGCCTGGCCCTGCTCCCATTCCCCACGTTTCTCAGCAGGGCCTGAGTGCCCAGTTGCACCTCCAGTGACAGGGCACTCCAGCAAACAGCATTCAGAGGAGGTGGGAGACAGGAGATGTGACAAAGGCCTTGCCTGACCCTGTTCGGAACAGGGTGGGGGGCGGGTTCTGGGGCCAGTGGAAGCCGGGGTTTTGGGGAGGAGTGTGATTGACACAGGAGACGGGTGGGCAAGGGATTTGGCTTCCACCCACCGGCTGCTCCTTTCAAAAAGAGTTAACCAAAAAGACACTTGGAAAGACATTTGACATGTACTGCTGTGATTGCACATAGTTGTTATGCAACCGATTTCTCTTTTTAAGTTATTCCGAAAGAATGTCCCTTTGTTCTCGCTGCAGGAATTGTTAACTTATGATTTGCTGAGAACTGCAGACTTCTTCACCTGCTGTCTTCAGGATCTTCATTTCGAGAGGATTTAATGACTGGATAAAAGGAGGGCAGAGGGAAAGACTTGGTCTCAACTCCTTTGTTCTGCAATCTCTAAAACGGTGGTGGTGGGGGGGGGTTCTCCCTCACTTCTTTGTTTTATTTATTTTTTGGCGCTCCTTAAATCATGACAGAAATGCTTCTCTTAGCGAATTACTGACCGAGTGCTCCTTTGAATTGTAAAGCGATGACTGTGGTCTTTAAGGTGCTTTACCTCAGGTAGGAATGAACCCTTTCCTCTCAGCTTTTCAAACCTGAGACCATGGGCTTCCTGTTGGGCTGGTTTCTGCAGGAAATGCTCACTCCTTCACACCTAGTGATGGGCTGCCATTCTGGGGGATGGTGAGGACAGGTCGCCTCCTGGTATCTACCCATCTGAAGGGATCGGATTGGCTCTTGATCAGAAACAAAAAAAATAAACAAACGACATGCCCAACCGCTTCGCACCCTCAGAACAGAGAAATTTCCTCACCCAGAGCCTATTGAATTCTCCACCACTGAAACCAGTTGAGGCCAAAAACATTGAACGTTCTCAAGAAGGAGTTAGGGCTACAGGGCATGGGGGAGGCAGGAGCAGGCGGACTGAGTTTATCAGCCACGATTATATCGAATGGCGGAAACAGGGTCGAATGGCCTACTCCTGCTCCTAGTTTCTATGTTTTCTGTGAATGTCCCAAAATGCTTTGCAACCAAGGAGGTGTGTGGCCAATGTTGTGAAGGCAACAGATAATTACTGATCAGCGCGCTCCCCCGCAACTCAATAATGTGAGAACGACTGCCTTTTCTTCTCGAGTGAGGTTAGTTAAGGAGGGTTTCCTGCACCCACAGCGCCATGGGATTTTCCTCAGTCACCTGAGAGGATGGGCAGTGGTGGGGGGGGGGACGCTTCTTGTTTACACACCATCTGAAAGACAGCACTTCTGACAGGGCAGCACTCTCACAGTGGAAGCACTGTGTAGGTCGGCCCAGGTTATATGTGAGGCGGGGTGCGAACCCACCACCTTCTGGCCCTGAAATGACAGTACCACCTGCTGAGGAGCTGAACCAGGGGCAAAGTGAGGAGCTGGATCCATCCCGTCATTTCCTCAGCGGGCGGGAGAGGTTTATCAAAATTACCTCCATGCAATGTTTCTGCACTATTAGGGAGAACTGCTTCTGAGAAATCCCAGAAACATCTCCCGATGAAGTTGATCTTCTCCAGAGTCTTTCCCTGCTTCGAATCTTGGTTAAGTTGACTCGTTATTTTTTTGTAACGATGGCACTGACTGGCATCTGTGGCTTTCAACAAAGGAAGGATGGAGTGAGGCCTATAAGGACTTTAGGGCCTGCTCTCCTCACAGTTGAGTTCACACAGAAACAAAAAGGAAAGTCAGGATTGAACCAGAATGTCAGTCAGATGTCAAACTCATCCATTCAGAAATAAATGTCTACCACAATCCCAGCGTCCTGATTCTCTCCCTCCTTCCCGATTTTATTTTACTTACATTTATGTTTCTAGAAACCAAACTTTTGAGTTTGACAAAATGTTATGAAAATGTTATTAAAAGTGCTATGTTTGAGCTTCTGGCTGACGCTAAATCCTTATTCTCTTGTGACCAGTGTGTTAGATCCACTATAACTTGTTTATGAGCAATGGGACTTCCTGCAAGAGAGAGTTTTTGTTTTAATTCCTTCTCGGGATGTAAGTAAAACTGGCAAAGCCAGCAACTTTTACCTTGTTCTTAAGTGCCCTTCAGAAGGTGGTGATGATGCTTCCCATAATGAAATGATGTAACTGTGTGACTCTCAGGCAGTTAAGAGTCAACCACATTACATGGGTCTGGTGTCATAGGTAGGCCAGACCAGGTAAGGAAGCAGACTTCATAGAATCATAGTATCCATACATAGAAGAAACAGGCCATTCAGACCATCAAGTCCACACTGACAGCCCACCCAGACCCACCCAATTTCCCATGCCAATCCCAATCCTGCACATCCCTGAACACTTTGGGGCAGTTTAGCATGGCCAATCCACCCTAAACTGCATATCTTTGGACTGTGGGAGGAAACCGGAGCACCCGGAGGAAACCCACCCAGAACCGGGGAGAATGCGCAAACTTCACACAGACAGTCGCCCGAGGATGGAACCAAACTTGGGTCCCTGGTGCTTTAAGGCAGCAGTATTAACCACTGTTGTAAGTGTTGGAGTGCAGGTAACAGAGTGGTCAGTGGGCTTATATCCTTGTTATTTGAGCCTGGATGGTGAGACTGTGGAATTCACTCCCACAGAAAGTGATTGAGGCCATAACACTATGTATTTTCAAGAAGGAGATGGATATAGCTCTTGTTGCTAAAGGGTCAGGAGATCTGGGGGAGAGCAGGATTAGTCTATTGAGCTCGATGATCAGCTATGATCATATGAATGGTAGAACAGAATCAAGGGGTTGAATGACCTACTCCTGCTCCTGTCTTCTATGTTTGTATGCACACCATTCAGAGGAGCTTGGGCTGACAACAGGAAACATTAATTCAGGCAACGGTGAGTGGACATCTGAATTTTTTTTATTCATTCAGGGGGTGAGGGCATAGTTGGCCATATTGCCCATCCCTAATTGCCCAGAGGGCAGTTAAGATTCAACCACCTTGCTGTGGGTGGGTCAAATATAGGCCAGACCAGGTAAGGATGGCAGTCTCCTTCCCTAAAGGACATGAGTGGACCAGATGGGTTTTCTTCCAACAATCACAGTCATCATTAGACTCTTAAATTCCCGATTGTTTTTTTGTTGAATTCAAATTCTACCATGGGCTGTGATAGGTTTTGAACCCGGTGTCCTGGAATATTACCTTGGTCTCTGGTTTAAACAGTCCTGCAATAATAGCACTAGGCCATCGTTTACCCCAAAATTCTTCATTCTTCCACGGGATGAGGGAGATACTCATTAGTTGTCTACCTCCAATTGTCCTTGAGTGGCTCACTTGGTCAGTCCAGAGAGTAGTTAAGGGTCAACTGTGGGTCTGGAGTCACGAGTAGGCCAGACTAGGTAAATATGGCAGTTCCCTTTCATAAAGGACTTTAGTGAACCAGATGGGTCTTTCACATGTATCAATGATTGTTATCATGGTCACCATGGCTGGGACTAGATTTATATTACAGGTTCATCCAGAATCCACAATGGGATTTGAACTTGCTTTAAAAATAGAAATGGTAAGAAAACTCTCTGGAGAGATGCTGTGCCAATGCTACCCATCTTGCTGTGTTTTTTTTCTCAGAATTCCTGTGTTTGTGTCAGATTTCCAGCATCCACAGTATTCTTTTATTTGAACCTGTGTCCCCAGCGCCTTCCATAATCTGAATATCTCATCCAGTGACACTGCCACATCCAGTTTATCCCAAAAAGAAAATATTGAGGCCGACGATCAATTGAAAGTTGCAGAATTGAGATTGATAGATGTTTTACCAGGAAAGGATACAGTAGGATTGAGGAATTGAGACAGATAGGTGGAGTTAAGGGACAGATCACCTGGTTGAAGACTGGTCTGAGGGGCTGAATGGACTGTCTCCTGTTTTTGCCACCAATCCAGTCACTCCCATCGGAAAGTTTGGATGTTGCTTAGGGATAGGCCTTGGCAATACTGAGGGAATAGCTACAAGCAAGGGCAAGCAGTTTTGGGCGATCTGTATCCAGGGTGAGCGAGAATCCTTGGGAGAAGGGAAAATGAAAAAAAAGCAACAAAAATTCCACCAGCTGCGGAAAAGGACCTTCTCCTCTTCCCATCTCCTACCACCACTTGTTGGATCGTGTGATGATGGACAGCACTCAATGTGGCATCAAATTGTGACATTCCTCCCCCTTCGCTGAGCTCCTGAAAGAAAGCACACTTTAGTCATGGGGCTTTACTGTTTAATAACAAGGGGAGGGGAGGGCCCAAGAGGTATTATCACTGAACTGTTAACCTAGAGACCCTGTTCTGGGAACAGGGGTTCCAATCCTCTAAGAGCAGGAGGTGGAATTTGAATTCAATAAACATCTGGAATTAAGAATCTAATGATGACCATGAATCCGTTGTTGGGAAAAACCCATCTG